TAGATGGGTCTTCCTTAAAGCAAATTCCTTATTTCACTTTTAAAGTACTCTACACTGGTGGAGACAAACACGAAAGAATAGGTGGTAGGTTCTCAGTTTCAGATTTTTTTTGTAAAAAAATAAAGTAGAAATGTTTATACAAGTGCAACTGAAACATCAACCAATGAACCATACCCTACCTTTGGTAATTACAGAAATTTCCATCCTTATGGTGTTTCTAAGGAATCTGTGCCATTGTTAATAGTAAAAACAGCTATTGGAAACCGTTTCATCCCCAGGAGAGGAGAAAGAAATGAAACAATTTGCCAACAGGTGGAAAAAGAGTTGTTATAACTATTGAATTGACCTCTAGGCTGTTCCATTGGCCTCCCCCCTGCTGCAGGTGATATTGAATTTGACCATTGTGGTCATAGTGGTCATTGTTGTTAAAATTTTTGTTATGGGAGAGTGGAAAAGAATTGACCTTTTTGAGATGGTTGTTTGAAAAAATCAAGAGAGGTATTTGGCTATAAAAGCTTCAATAATAAAATGAGACTGTTGGAACCAAAACAATTGGTTGACTGTAGTTTGATATGTTGTCAATGGAAAAAAAATTGAAACGCTTTCCAAATGTGAAACTCTATTTAGATGATAAATTTATCACCTGTATGAAGAACTATTTTTGGAACTGAAAGCTACCAGAAGTTCAAAAAAATCCAATTGTTTTTATTGCAATGAAAGCCAGATGCACCATTTTGTTATTTAAGCAAGTGTAACTAAGAATCAATCTTTTAGCAAACTGGCCAAACTCCAAAAATCACAAAAGGACGAAATAAAACATAAGCTACAACTTCTTAAGTAGCACATTAAAGTTAGGAGGCTACAGTTTTAACTGGCCACAGAATACAACAATCTATCCTCAAATAGGCTGTCACTCTTGAGTGTGTCCATTGCTAAGAGCCATATCTGAAATTTTATTGGTATTCTTGGGGATGATTTTTCAAACAAATGGCCAAAAAGATTTTCCTCAGAGAACATTAGGGAAACCAGAACAAGGAGAGTCATCTTGTAGTTTACTCATGCAAACATATCCTATAATAGTATTTAAAATCCATATAACTGGTCCTTTTTATCATAGAACAATGTCCGTAACCATGTATTGATACGTGGAACATTTTGGTATACACAACATTGCCTTAGCGTGTGTGGGATTTTTGCCCCGAACATGGTCATGTATGACTGTAACAAACAGAAGCATAGATCAAGTGAAATGTGCATCTGTACAAGTCTGTAATGCACATTAACAAACCGAAACCCTCGTTCTGAGCGAAACACGAGATGGCCACTCCACAAAATGGCAGCACCCAGGAGAAAAGGAGTACACAAACACGATCTGTAAAAATCCAATCCTTCTCAACATGTCAGAATCAGTTTTCAAATAAACAAACACAAGAAAGAGGCTGGTCACTCATTTGTATTCTTCGTGAACTATATATTGCATTCAGGAAAATTGACACGGTGAGATTTTTTCACACCCACTGAGCCCTTGTTTTGAAAAAATAAATGAGCGCAGTGAGTAGCTTGTAGGCTATTTCTCTCTGCTCACCAAGTTTTTCTCCACAAGTTTCCAACAACTTACAGCTGCGGTTTGGCGGCTGTATCTAATCACCAACTGAGCTAATATTCCGTGAAAGTTTATAAGATAAACAGTATGCTGTGTGTCTAGACAGTAGCTTGTAAGTAAATGTACAATGCTGGCTTTTGGCGTATTGGTTTGATTCAAGAAAATCTGAAGAATGAGGTTTGAGGTTCGTAAGACAGTTGAAGGACTTTTACTACCTAATTTCACTCTGGTGTGCTTCTGGCTTTCTTTCGACAGGAATCACTCAATCTCGCTTTCTCTCTCCATTCAAACTCAGCAGTCAGAGTTGCCAAAAAACTTTTTAGGGATGACAATGTTATGGCATGGTTAATCCATCTTTTACGATGTCATTAATTTGTAGAGAAATAAAAAAGAAAAGCAAGAACGGCAAATACATCAAACTAGAAGAAATCGTGCCAGTCACAGCTGTCATCTCTACGAATATGCCCCACTCTTTAAGTACTTGACCCTATGTTTTCCTGAGTGACGGAGCCAGCTAATATGACCAGGTTTTATTTTGACGGCATGTCATTACGAGATAGACCAGAACCCAGCCAGTCTTCACCCTCTGCTGCCCCCTTGCTCTTTCTCTTAGTTCAAGTTGCCATGGAAACCAGCTGGAGCTCCAAGCTGAAGTTGGGATTCTCTCTCCCTCCTGTGGATTCTAGCTGTGCATAGAGACAAGGGAATACATTCCAGTGTTGTACACAGACTGAGAAATGATTTGCCTGAGATAATCTTAATATAAGCTGAACGTTTGAAAATAAATAAGTCTTTGACTCTTGGAATTTTATGTAATTGCAGAATACAGAGATGAATAACAATATTTGAGACACATCTAGCTCAATTTTTTCTCCTGGAAGCTTTAGCACCTTCAAAAATGCTAATTTTATGGAAGTTATGCTATTTATAATTTACATGTCCAATTTGAGAATTAATTCATTAACTGTGTTTAATTATTACAAACCATATGATTGTGAATCAGAATCAGGAGGTAACTTCTCTCCAAACTAGAACACTCATTGATCAATAAAATAGAATTTTAACAGTAGCTCTCTGTAAAGATTGAAATGAAGGAACTGAATTTGCACTGGGGTGTTCTGGTTACTTGGCATTGTGAAGGTGTTCCCCCAAGTGTCGTCTGCTTCCAATATCTGCCGTCTGCTGGCAATGTCAGACGTCTGCTGAAATTGGAAGAAANATTGCTGACAGGCTTTGGCATCGTGTTGCATGCATTGCTGCTTTTTATAATGTGGCAGACGTAATCTTCTGTCATAATGGCAGCCATGTTGTCTGGTAGCCTTTCAAATTGGCTCATCTTCTAAGGCCAATTTTCCATGGGATTTCTATCCTCAATTTGCTTTGTCGCCTAGAAATTAGATGGGATTACCAGACATAGAATGGATTTTGTCTGCATTGTGATTGGGAATTTTCATTTGTCAGCGTTTGTCTGGATCAAATCTCCAAGATCTTATGATGTTGCTGGTAGTTTCAATTCATGGCAAAAAAAAAAAAAAAATGTACAAGGCTCTTAAACTGTATTAATATTTTTTTGCATAGTATTCAGTTAGATTGAACAAGTTAAGATAAAGAAAGAGACACTTCTGTTTTTATTGTAATTCTAAAATGTCAGCTGTCCTAAAAGTATTTCAGTATGAGAAATTTTAGACTATCAGAAACAGCAGTTGCTAGTTTTGTTTTAAAAAGAAATTCCACCCACAGCCTTTTGGCAGACTCATCTGTCCTAAATGTGTTAGGAAGTCGGGAACTTTAGCCTTGCTAAGCTAGCAGTCGCAAGATGTGGGCAAAATCAAAAATTCCATCTCTCCCCATGTGGTCCCGTTTTGTAATCATTTCAGAAACAGAAGAAGAGCAATTTAAAGCTTTTGTTGACTTTTTGGAATGATAGTATCAGAGAATGATGCAGCCTCCTCTTAGTTTTTTTTGGGAAATTAATTTGTTTGAAAAAAAGAGAAAGATAAGTTGTGGAAGAAGAAATTATGAATCAAATGCATGTGCATTTACAAGAACACTTTCATGTATGCAGGTATTGCGTGAGAGCGCGCACACACATACATGAATGTGCACACACACACACACACACACACACACACACACATGGGAGTACATGCATGCACACACACAGTTATCAGTATCTCAGCATCAAACTTACAAGATAATCAATCACCAGAAGTGATTCTTTATGTGATGGAGCTGAGTCAAATGTATTGATTGCCATTTGATTGATTTTGACTTAGTCACAGCCAAGTTTAATGTTATACACTCCAGCAGGGCCATCAAACACCCCGCCCCAGGGGAGACCCTGGATTCCCTAAGTGCCTAAATGAAGTCATGAATTCTGATCATTAGGCCTCATTTGCCGTGAAACGAGGGGCGATTTTTCATTCTGAGGAGAGAATTTTTTACTCATAGGAGCAATTTTTCTCTCCCAGCGCTCCTGGTTGTGGTGTTAATGTCAAAGTGATTAAATACGGGATTTTTTAAAGTTAATTAAAGCATTGTTGGATTGAGGTATTGGAACCTACCAACGCTTCCATTTTTGCTTAAATTGGTAGTTATATAATTCTTTATTGAAAGTATATCATTTCAAGTTGATATTCCCTTATTCTTTATACTGGCAAGAAGCAGTTTTCCATGTTAGATTTTGCTAATATGGAGTAGGGAAGATGAGATGATTAAATAAGCTATGCATTTGCATTCTGCCAAGTTCGTCAGAATCCTTAATGAAAATTAAAACACGCACACAACAATGGAAGGCAACATTCCTCAAATTTGCCCTGTTGATGTGTTAGGATCTCCATGGGCACTCCACGCTAGCATTATTCCGTCAAAGCATCCCTGCGTGATAGATTCTTGTAGAGATATACCCTGAAAAAAAATGCCATTAGCCATACATGCTTTTGCTGTAGGTGGTGCTTTGATCTGTGGCTAAATTGGAAGTGTCACTTTTGTTTTCTGATTCAATTAAATTTGAATGAAGATTTCAGCATAGTGACAGTGTGTGGTGCTGTCCTTTCACAATGAAATTTCCCAAAGATTTCCATGTGTATTTTGTTTTAGTTGCTCTTACAAATTGTTAGAAAGAAATGTAGACCCTTATTTTCAAAATGACCTTTCCGTCTAACCAAGACTGTAAATGATATAAATTTTGATGATTATATATATTTTAAGATGTGAAATAATGTAGTAAAAAATAGCGTTTAACAGTTCAGTTTTTGATTTTATATTAACTGGATAGATGAAAAATGTATTTGTTTTCTTTGAAATATTATTTTATTTCTAGGTTGAGACATTATTTGTTTTTCTTCTATGATTAATTGTGTACCTAATGTTAATCCGTCTTCTCATTACAGTGGCGAGAAGGAAGCTTCAACGACGGTGAAAATGTAAGGAGAGTGTATATGGCATGCGACATCGAGCACTCAGAAGTCAGCAACTGGCTTCGCCTTCCGTACATCCCGCGCGGGGACGCCAACAGACTTTACGTGGAGATAGAATTCACAATGAGAGACTGTTCCACACACAGAAAACCAGAGGAGGTGTTTCAGTGTAAAGAGACCATCGCATTGTACTATTATGAAGCAATGTCTGACTTTGCCACGGACACGCTGCCAAGATGGCAAGCGGAGCAGGGATCTTACCAGATGGTGGACTCAATTGCTGCAGATTACAAATTTACGAACCTCAGTGATTATCAAATCAACTTGAAATACAGGAGCGTCCCTGTCTCCAAAAATGGAGTCTACTTTGCATTCCTCGATGAAGGAGCATGCACCTCCTTACTATCAATTAACGTGTATTATATCACATGTCCAGCTGTGCGTAAAAACTTCGCTTTCTTTAACACAACTGCAACAGGTCGCGATGTGTCGTCAGTCGTTAGTAAAGAGGGCGTGTGTGTTGATAATGCAGTGAGAGTAGGAAATGGACCTGCGCCTGCCTACCTGTGCAAGAGTGACGGGACATGGGTGTGGCCGACGGGACAGTGCTATTGTAAGGCGGGATACCAACCTAATGTGGATAACACTGAATGTCTTGGTAAGTGTAACAACCCTCTAACAACCTTGCATTTTGGACTGTCTCCTATGTACAAATGAAGAAAAGGGAATGCCCCAAATTTGTGTTTGTGTTTTGGGGGAGGGGGGGAGTTCATATATTGAAACGATCCCCATATAATTTATTCATGAACAGCTAAATATATATGCTCATCATTTTGGTTCCATGCACTGGAAAAATCATCCGAGTGCAAGGAAAGTCTTCTCTGGCAGCCTACACCCCTCAATTCCTTATGTGCATTTAAAGTTTTATACATTTCATTCTTGAGATAATAGACCTATTATACACTTTGCAGTAAAGAATCCCCCTGCTTCCTCATTATACATCCAAAACTCCCACTATCAAATCAGCCTATTGCATGTCTCTTTGAAGATGTTATTAACAGCTAAGTAGGAATTAGGGTAGGGATGAGAAATATAGACCAGAAACATGCAAAACATGAATTTATAGAGAACTAGATTTTTTTTTTTCATTTTTCGCCTTTTTATGCTTGAGCATGTAGGGGAAGGGGTCAATTTAGAAAATATATATGGAATTTCTTATATTGACCCTTTTGCCATTTAAGTTCAAGAATATAACCCTAAGGTGATAAAAGCTAAATGATTAACTAAAGGATACTGTAAAATTTCAAGAACAAAATCATGGCAATCGATAAAATGTTTTTCCAAGCTCCATTATATTTCATCAAAAAACATTAAAATCAAAACAATGTGTTGAAATAAATAAGATGAGGAACAGAGACTGAAGTGAAAACTGACTAAAGACTGAAGCAAATAAACTGACTGTCTCTAGTGAAAAACTGACTAAAGACTCCAGTTAAAAACTGACCACCAGTGCCCATTCCTCAGACCACACATATTGTGGTCAGTGAAGCGGCTGTCCACTGCTATTATCTCCAGCCAGACAAATATATAGAGAGAACTCATATCAGCAGAAGTAATGGGCAGAAATATGAAAGAATTTGAATTGCACTGGTTCCTGGGGTGAACCTGTGTCTGTCTGTCTAATGTAGGTCTGTAGTGATAGGACTGAGACAGCGAGAGAGAGAGAGAGAGAAAGAGAGAGACAGAGAGAGAGAAAGAGAATGGAGTGTGTATGTGTTTGTGTGTGATATCGAGAGAGAGATTTAGAGTGAGGTTTGTGTGTGAGGAAAAGAGAGATATATATATATGTGTGTGTGTGTGTGTATGAGAGAGAGAGAGAGAGAGAGAGAGGAGGGGAGGGGAGAAAGAGAGGAATGGTGTTCTAAAGAGAGAGATTAGAGGTGGGTAGAAAAAATAATGAGAAAAAATGGGTAAAACATACAAGAGAAAAAAATGGGTAAAACATACAATAACAGGTGCCCTAATAGGCTATATAGCACTACCAGTAAATTGCATCTCCATGTTTAAGTCCTATCACCTTCCTTCTCCCCCCCCCCCAGAACACTCTCAACCAGCCCCTGTTCCCCTCATACATACTCTTTTGTCTCACAACATCTGAACACATTGTCGCTGCCACTGTAACTGCCGCTACCCCCTAAACGGATCAGTTGCAGGGGAAATAGAATATCATGCATACAGAATCACAACATTATACTGTCGTAATTGAATTCTGAAACAAAATTCAGAAATCCACCTTCCTAGCACGTTTGGCTGTCCAACTTCATTGACCAACCCGTGAGTTGAAATGTTCCAGGAAAGGGTAGAAAAAAACATGTTTGATGTATAGAAAAAAACCTATGAAAATCCAATGAGAATGAAATGGAATATGTATACTACAGTATAGTACTTAAAGAGGAATTGCTTAACAGACCCTGCTGTTGAGATGGCTTTGATGTTATTTAAAACAACAACAAAAAGTAAATAAAAATAAAAAAAGTAAATAAATAAATGTAATGTTAATAAAAATGTTTATTTTATAGTGAAGATCATTCCTTGTCATTTTCTCTGCCAGGTTTATCTTTATCACCATTTGATCATCAAAATTTAGGTAAAGAGGAGAATGTGCATTGAATTTCAGCCATTGATACTGTATTACCATACCTGCCCTTCTGAGCAGCAGCTACGAGCATCCGGGCTCCGAGCGTCCAAGCTCAAAAGTTAAATCTCTTCAGTGAAACAACTTTGAACACCATACAGGGGTTAAAAGGGGGCTGATTAAAACTAAATCTGAAAAGTCGAGAAAAGAAAACTTTCCTTCTGAAAAGCAAACTGACTTCCATTACCTGTACGAACTGAGTCAGTGTTTGCTTAAGGGCAGGCCCAATTGTTGTGAAAATTCACGATGATGTTTCTCCGCACGGGGCGGTCTCTTTGAGTTATTTTACTCTCCACCACTAATGGCTGACAATAACACTAAAATAACAAACACACGATGCGTGTAACAATGGCCGCAGAAGAGACGACACAATGGAAGTCCATGTTGACCATCTAAATATATGAGTCTATGGAAACCTTTTACTTAAATAAACGGACATTTTAGACGTTTGCACTTTGGTTTAAGGTGTCTGGTTTCTGCAGGGGTAATGAGAAAGCTGGGAAGTCTTCAGAATTGGGAAGGCAGTTTATGTTACATTGTAAATGATTTGGGAAATAGAGTTGCATTGTTAGGGCTGAAGGGGATGCAGCGAGTGAAAAAGAGGATATTCTCTTCTTAAGTGCAGTGATTTATATAAATATATGTAGGTTTTGAAGCATTGATTTTGGACAAGAGGGGAGTGAGTTAACTTATAAACTCTTTTGTAAAACCAACTCCACGGTGTTTGATTTGATTTTGAGTGCAATTAAGGGTAAAGTTCGCCCTGAGGAGCCTTCAGTTAACCCCCACCTGTTCATTGCATGCCCTGAGTTTTCAAAGACTGCTGGCTTCTGTTTTATCAGTATGTCTCTTTCATTTCCAGAAAGTTTCTTGTGTATTCTGTGAAATTCTGGTGGCTTGTTGTACTGAGAAAGATCAGAGTTTTTTTTTATTTTAATGGCCATACAAGGAAGATATGATTCAAATGTTAAACTTTTCAATTTCTACACTAAAAATGAATTTTCATCAGAATAACAAGGAAGATACATATGAAGTTATTTGCCTAGTTGTGCAATTTAAACTACTACTTATCATTTGGCTACACTTGTTTGGAAAAGAAGAAAACCTCTAGAGCCACCTCAGGATCTGACCTGTGATTATCCCTCAATGTCACGAAGCACAAATTAACGGAGAATAAAGCAGAAACAAAATTGCCAATAAATGTTGACTAAATAGAAAGGCTAATCGATACAAGGGAAAGATACTATTGATCTTCTGTTCGTAGGAAAATTGATTTTTTTTTCTTCAGCAGAACAATTTCTGTTGTTGCTTTAATTTGCTGCTATAAAAAATGTTCTATAGAAAGTATGCAATTTCATGTATGGAGGGGCAAATTGCAGTATGCGAAAGAAGTTCCTGCTATATCCTGTTCCATGTTGTATCATTAGCGTTGGTATTTTGAACAAAAAGACAGTGTTTTATTTCCACTTGTTTTGTATGGCGCAAGTGGCATGCCGTAATAATTAACATAATTTGCCACTTAGCTATAAATTTGCTCGAAAATCAAATGATTTTTTTGACCAAATGCTGAACAGTTTAACAGAAGGACAGTGTTTTTTCATTTGCAGTGGCCAAACAATTTATATGACAGCAAGGAAAGAAGGGCACCAAAGAAAGACCAAAATTGATCTCTATTTGTTGTGCCATAAAAAAAATGTATAATCCCATTAGAGAAAATCCTGTCAATATTCTTAATGAAAATCCAATTAAGATGTAGAGACACATGCAATCTCAACACGCCGTAGGAAAGACTAATGCAGTTTTCTGTTCAGTCTTTGTTTTAGGCACCTGATATTTTTATATGAAAAATAATGAGAAACCTTATGGCCATTGTTTTAAAATGTACACTGGAGAGAAACACACAGACAAATCAATCTAGAAACCCTGCCTATATTGTTTTAACATACGCACTCACAAAGGGAAACATTACAAAAAAGTCAAACAGCAAACGGCAGAATTCATTGGGTTCTAATTATTGCAAACCACCATCAATAGATTGACACTTGAAGTAAATGCACCATCGAACGATGTGAAAAGATATTTCCTACAAACTTCTGCGAAGGAAATTGCTAATGTTGGGTGCATTAGAATCTGTTGAGCTGAAAAAGAAATATTGGAAAAGGGGCAGACAGATGGGGAAGCCAGTCAAATGTCTTGAATGGCTCTCATATAAACAGAATGTAGTGAATAGTTATGTTGCTTATTTTCATCAAAAATAATGTGTCAAGGTTAACATGTTCTAGTATAAATATTCACTCTTTGAACTGACAATTTTCTTGTCATAGGAGATGTGACCTTAAGCGCCACCTGATGGCAAAAATGAAGACTAAATTTTGTTTCTTAAGTCTGTATAACATTAAGAAAAATAAATTTTCTTTGAAGAAAATAACCAAAAAGCAGAATAAACAGTGCATGATCTTTTCCCTTTCATTCTTATATAGTAAAGCCCCAAGTTTTAAGAAAAATATTAATATTGAAGTATTGAAACATACATTTTATGCTGTCATATTAAACTCATAATATTGTGTTCTTTTCTTTGCAGCCTGTCCGTCTGGCACATACAAAGCTACTATAGGGGGCGACACCTGCCACAGTTGTCCTGCTAACAGCAATGCTGACGGGAAAACTCATGCCACGATCTGTGATTGCAACCCAGGTTACTATAGACTGCCACATGCAAATGCTTCTCAACCATGTATAGGTATGTCTAAACTCTTAGTATGGTTCCTGACACTTTCTGCTGATTTTTATTATTAAAACAGAAACAACAGCCAAGAAAGTTCGAGCTGTAGTTAAATCATTTTTGAAGAAGTCAAATGATGTGGATTTGAAATGATGCTCCTAAGCCAGAAGAGCCGCTTTGTGTTTCATTTAATATTTTCTTTATTTTTTTTAATATGACTATCCCAAGTACAGTTGCTAGGTGATATCAACAAATAGCGTCTTCCGTATACATGTTTATCTCGGTCCCATACAGGTTACTTCCTCACGATATTGTCTCATTCACACAGTGTTGAATAGTCCGATTATATTATCCAAGTAAAGGCTTCACTAAGGGCTCTTGATTCAAGTGTCACTTAGTGTGGGTTTCAAGAGTTCTTCGGTCATTATCTTGGGTAAATTTATGAGCTCTCTTTGTAACATTCTTCAAATCAAGGAAACCTGAAGTCGAGCCGTCCGTTTCTTGCTGGCAGGCTCTTCACAAATCAGCAGGAAAGTCTGCAAATTTGAAGTCCCAGGTTGTATTTGGCCTCTGGTTGGATTGGTAGAAATTTGTTAACTGGGGTGGTGTTGCTGTCCTCTTCACTTGTTAAACACACTGGTGCCTTTGTTGAGTAAATGTTCGAAAAAAATTTATATTGTCACATTTGAGTATTTGGTGGGTGACCTTTTTTGAGGAAAATAGTATGGTAATATCGTGAAATATGCCTCAAATTTGCTAGAAATATGCTATAAGCCATCAGATTTACAATGATATGGCTTCTAGAAGAATATTGGAGTAAAGGGATTACAATGTGGTTATTTCCCCCCTGTCCTTAATTGTTTTAACGTCTTCCGGTTCCATACCTGATTCAAGCCAAATTCAGGTACATGTATCTGCGTCTGGAATTTCCGTTGTGGGTTTGGCGAAGGGGAGAGTTTGGGATGTGGGGGACAATGTGATATATTACTAATAATGTTACCATTTGCCTGCGTTGGAGTCTATAATTTATGTCCAAGGTGAATCATATAGGGTCACCTCTCTCTCTCTCTCTCTCTCTCTCTCTCTCTCTCTCTCTCTCTCTCTCTCTCTCTCTCTCTCTCATAGACAGACCACAAAACACTAAATTGTTAGTATCTATATGTCCAGGGGTAACAAGCTTGGTAAATGTTTCCTGATCTTCTTTTGTGTATCATCTAAAACCGTTGGAAGCGGTCAGTATGCCCCTTGAG